GGGGGAGGGGAGCCGAGGGGGCGGCCCAGAGGACAGTCAAGGAGAGAATCACGACCACTGTCCCTTCTGTCCTGTCCCTTCTGCTGGGCACTCAAGGCTCACTTTCTAGGAATGCTCCCCAGGCAGAGGCCCACAAGTGGCACCCCAGGACACAGCCACGCACGGGCACAGGCGTGCAGGTGTGCATGTGAGGGCCCAGGCTGAGACCCGACGAGGACAACTGTCCCCCTACACAGGCACTGCAGGCAGGCCTGAGGAGGACACTGGCACCTGTGGCCTCCCAGAGTGACTGCGGAGGGGTGAGGACAGAGACTGACCTGTGTCCACCCTCGTTGGCCCCCAAACCACTGGGACGAGCCAGGGTGGCAGAGGGGGCTGAACCGAGGCACATGTGGGGTAAAGGGCAGGCCCCCGGGTAGGGGCTCATCTCCTCCACTACAGGGAAGAACTGGGAGGGGTGGCAGCCCCCAGGTGGCTCACTGTAGCCACCCACAGGGGGAGACTCCGTCTGGGGTGGAGAGGGGAGCCGAGTCAGAGACAGAGACAGAGACAAGGAAACAGACAAGAGAGAGAGCAGTGTCACAGAGAGACAAAGAACAGCAACCCAGTGGCGTCAGAGACAAGAGTGAGCCGTGGAGAGACCCAGAAGAGAGATGCAGAGACAGGCTGGCACGTGTAGAGAGACAGAGACATGTGCTGCTGGGGAGGGCACGTGGTCGGGAGAGAGGATGGAGTGAGCACTGCAAGCAGAGCCCCAGAGACAGAGACAAAGAGATGGAGACACGAGAAGGGAAAGACCAACACACTCAGACAGACAGGCAGCACGGGGGAGGGGCGAGCCAGGAGCACACGGGGAAAGGACAGAGACCCAGAGCCCTGGGCACACCCAGGGGGCGGAGTGCCAAGGAAGGCCACTGCTGGGGTCCCCGGGCTCCTGCTCCACCTCCTCCGGTAGAGGGGCCCCGCCACCCTGCCGCCCTGCCGCCCTGCCGCTGCAGACCTCCCGGGGCTGGGCTCGTTCTGCCCTCCTGGGCCCTCAGCCTTCCAGGTCAGAGGCGCCTCTGGGCTGTGGCAAGGATGGGGCTAAGAGGCCGGGTGAGCAGGCTCTGGGGCCCTGGGAGATAAGGGGCGCTTGCCGCCCACTCCCCACCCTCAGGCCAGACCTGCCAGAACTGGCTGGACAGCTCCAGCTCCGGGACTGAGGTCTGAGGTGGGAGCTGCCCAGGCCCTGGACCCCCACCCCCATAGCCTGCAGCCTCCAGACCACTCAGCCCCAAGGCTCCCTTTCACAGGGGAGAAGCGGGGCAGGCCTGAAGGTGACCCCCCAGGGCTGCTGCCCGGTGTGGGGCATAGGCAAGGCAGGTCGGGCAGGGGGCACCAGCTCACCCTTACCCCTGCCCGCCCCTCGAGAGGACAGTCCAGCTGTGGCCTGCCTGGGTCTAGCAGCTGGCAGCTGCCACCCCTGCAGGGACCCCACCCTCCACAGTGATCTCTGAGACCAGGGAGACAGCGGTGGGGGCACAGGGGTGCAGAGGGGTGAGGGTGGTGAGGCGGCTAGGAGGGCTCCAGGAGTCTCCCTCTCCCCTCCGCCTGGCCCTCCCTCCTCCCCCGCCCGCTCCCACGCGGGCCAGCTGTTCTCCAGCTGCCAGAGGCTCCCCCCCCAGGAGTAGCCACGCTCTGGGCTCGGGTCGGGACCAGGCTGGGGAAGGGGGTGGGTAGGGATGGTGGCTGCCTCCCCCCTCCAGCCCAAGGACCCCGAGGGACCCTGCCAAGTGGCCACACCCTGCCAGGCCGGAGAGTACCCTCCTCCCGGAGCAGGGTCTCCATTTTT